GGGTCACGTTTACTGAGATTGGGAAAGGTAGGGCTTGACCCTCATGGGCTGTTGCGCCACTGAGTTTAGTTTGTACGTAAATGATGTAGTTGCATTGTAAGCGAGAAGTTAGTAGTTAGTTTGTACATAAAAATGCATACATGGAAGTCAGGATTGGCCTCATATTTGTAATGCAATAGCATAATTTTATAAAATGTATTTACTTGAGTAATTTCTCTCCCTCACCCCTTTATTAAAATATAAGTAATAATATGTAAAAAGTTATATTTCTTGGGGGGACGTAATCAGTGTTTTAAGTATGTGAAACTGTAAATTTTTCTTTAATTAATGAGTACTTACTACTATTTAGTTATTCACATATCGTCTCCATTGAAAGAGCTGTAGTCCTTCTACTCCTATTTAAATTCTGTTCATAATTTCTAGAATAAAGAAATGTATATTTATTCGATACCATTTTTAAGATTTTATACGTTTTTTTTTAATAATTAGATCACTTGTTACTTTTAATTGATAAGGATTTTTTTTTGTGCTATTTTTGCAACTCTTTTAGGTTTTGGGAAACCTATTCTTGAACCAAAAATATAAGAATAATTGTAACCCACTTTTCCTTCGCGTTGATCTCGCTTGCATTTTTTAAAAAATTTTTTACTAAATTTTCTTATTTACTGTATTGTTTAAGGAAAATGTTTGATATAAAATTCTTCTTGACATCTCATAAGCATTTTACAATTTTGTTTTTCATATTATTTTAGATATTTTTTTCTTGTTTTTCGAAGTATTTTAATATTGTCAGCGCCCCCGTTGTTTAGACTCCTCCCATATTAACAGTAGAAAGACAGTCGCGCCCTCTAGCGGATAGAACAATCTTCAGTGATGGTCAACCTTCGGAACTGTGAGGACGCTAGAGTAGGTATGCACTTCGAGATTCCTTTCAATTCTATGCTAAATGTTAGTTCTCTAGTTATGTATGTAAATGTTTGTTTTGTGTAATAAACGTATTTAATTAATTAGTGAACTTAGTTAAGAACCCCTTCCCCTCGTGTCCCTTTATTACTTTGGGTCACACCCCTTATAATATTCCATTTCTTAAGACATTACTATTCGGGCCCTAGCACTTTAACATATTTATTTTGTTATCGTATTTAAAGAAAATTTTAATTTTTTTTACAAATCTGACTGGGGGATCTGACAAGGAAAGGTGATTTCCCAATAAAAATTATCGGAATCAATAAAAGATCTACGCATTTGTAACATCTACCTAGTTCACTAATTTCATACAGCTTATTTTTTCACTAGATAAAATTATTTTCTATCCGATATACCGAGGAAAAGAAAACCATTTAAAATTACTCCAAAAATTAATTTCAAACCATTCTTCTCTTTTTCAAGAAAACTAACTTTCTAAAAAAAAAGAAAGTCGAAACCATTGTTAAAACAACCACTCTTCAAGCATCAGTTTTCTCTTACAAAAACATACTAAAGACGATCTTACTCACTGATGATCACTCACAAAAGAGCGATATATTTACCAGAAGAGTATATATATATATATATATATATATATATATATATGTCAATAAAAATCCACCAAGCCTAATAAACGGACTAAAAATGTGTAGCTTTCAAAAGACTGTTTGACCCTGATTCCTCCAAACCACACAGGAGCTGTGACCCACAATCATCTAAAACCTTAAACCTTGGCCTTGATATAATTCATAAAGGCATCCGAAGCAACTTGGTATCGCTTTTACCACTCTATTCTACCCGTTCCTCTTCAAGGGATCTATTTCTATTGTGAGAAGTAGAAATGTTAATATCTTCTATTATAAAGAACAGACATTAACATGTGTGGAAGTAGGACGCATGATGCATCCATCCGGTCAGCAACACAAGAGTCGTGAATACCGTTTAGCTTTACTTCCAGATTGAAATGTCTCCAGAATCTGATGAAATGCACCTGATTTAAGAGAGGAATGCAATGGAAAAGGATTGTTGCGTTGTGTGCGTTTGCTTTTATGGGTTGTCGTCAAAATCTTTGAACTTGTTTGTTTGTAAGAATATCGGTGCTTTGTTGAGTGTAATGATTTATGAACAATGCTCGTGGTAGGTTAAAAAGAACGCGCAATTGGTTTTTATATGTTGGTAATAATAGGTCAAAATAAATGTTAGAACAACGCCAATAAGTATAAAGATTTTAGGATGGGTATTTATTAGAGATTACAAATGATTTACGAATTATACATTATAAAGATGATTAACTGCGGTCAAGGTTTTGCCGGATGCACATATCCGTCTTTTTCTACTTGTTTGAAATGTCAGAGCGGCATTTTTTATGCGTACAACATTGATGGCATTTTTTGTAACATAGTTGAAATTCCTTACAATATTTCCGTTTCTGGAATTCTTTTTTTCTTTGCAATGCGTTGCAGCTCTGTCATTTAGTTTTCTATGTTTTAATAATTTCAAAAGTATAAAAATTTCTAGCCCTGGTCTCAATAGTAAACTAAAAATTAGGGATAACCGAGCTTCAAATATATTACGTGAAAGGTATATATAACATTTTTTTTAACAATTGTATTCAAAATACAAATGTTTTAATGTTTGAAGAACCCACTTAAACAGGAAAAAGAAATACGATGTTTGAAGTTATATTTGAACCATTTCAAAATTTTTATCTTGCAGCCCTACTTTAAAAACAAGGATTAAACTCCAAATTAGGAGAACACCACTTTCAGATAAAAAAAAATACTAAAATCAATAAAAATTCACATGGTCGCAACATATTTAATGAGTGTGTTTTTCATAATATATCCATAAAATTACAGAAATATTTTATAAGTGTTTAATGTCTCATTGTAAGATATCTTTTTAAAAAAAACATCGGCATTTGTTTCTGTATCATCTTCATGATATTGGAAACAAATTGTAGAGCATATTTTATGCGGTGGGAAACGGAATGGAGTAGAAAATAAAATAAGAGAATAAGCTGAGAATGTAATAATTATTTCACAGTCCCCTTTTTTTAAAAAAATATTCCACTTTTGGATTTTGTACTTCAACTTTGGACGGAAACACCTTTAATTAAATTTGATGATAACTTAATACTTTGAATAACTGATCAATACAGGCCATATATTTCCGAGTATAAGCCGATTCGAAAATAAGACGAAAGTGCGTTTTTCTTCAAAAATTAACCCCAAAATCGAAACCCGTATACAAACCGTATTGAAAAAAAAATCCGTTTGGAAAATAAGCGGGAATAGAAATTTGTATACGGCTCGTGATCATCGACCCATGTTTCATGCCCTGGAAGAGAAACTGAATATATGTTGATTATATGTATGCACTAAGAAATATTTTCTAATAAACTTGTTTTTGTGCAATAGGCTTTTTTTGGAATATCCTTCAAAACGATATTTTTTTAACGTGAAAAAGTACAAAGTGCCATCATCTGCTGCAACGGATTCTTCCAATGTGAACCTGAGATGCTGGGGTTTTCCGTATTTTAATCATTACGAGAAGGGCAATCTTTTCGTGCTAAGCAATTTTCGTTTCGTGTTAAAAAATGCATGAAAATACATAGTAGTTTGGCGGAACCGTTTTATTATTTCGTGTTAATCGATATTTCGTCTTAAGCGTTTTCGCATTAAACGTATTTCTCTGTATATTACGTCGAAATTCAGAATAATAGTATCATTATGAATTTCAATAATCATTTCTCCTATGCATTTTAAGAGTTCGTGACATGGAATGCTTTAAATTAATGTAAGCGTACTGTTGTTGTAAGTTTATTATCGAGGAAAAGTTTATAAAATTAACACCGAAAAACCAATTAAAAAAAATCTCTTTAGCTTTTCTGAATTTGCATTTCCTTTTTATATAATTAAATGAAAAATGATTTATGATGTTTGAAGTTTACTTAAAAAAGTATTTTTTCTCTTTTTTGAGGTTATTTTTAAAATTATTTTAATTTTAAATTAAGAAAAATTCTGAAAGTATTTTCTTTCTTTGAGGAATTTTCACGGATTGCAAAACACACCGAAGATAAAAAATATTACACATAAAATTTTATAAAGCTCATGCATATTTAACATTTTTAGAAAACATTTTAAGGCTGACTGCAAAGATTATAGGAGAGTATTTAAATAACGTAATTAACCACTCTTTTTTTGAATTGGTAAATAATAAAAACATGAAAAAGTTAGGTGAAACAGATAAAAGTTTACATTTTTCTCGTAATTTTTTATGGTTTTTAAAGTTAGCGTTACGCTAGACCTACATAATGAATTCTTTTGATGATTCACTAAAGCAAAATTTTTTACAACAACAGTAATAATGTTTGATGGCTATTTGTGATGCAAATTAAAAGTAGATTATCATAAAGTTAGTTGCCTCATTTCCTTATACATACTCGCAACTCTTTTTTTTTTTTTACACGATTTTGAAACAATTTTTTTTTTGTGCAAATTATTTGTTCTAGTAGGAATTACCCAAAATTAAAAAATTCGTGCCCTCTGAATGAGAATGATTTGATCGAATTTATAACTGTATATGATAATAAAGAAGTCAATAACGACAAAATCAAAACTCAGCTATTACCAGCTGATTTAATTCGCGAGGGCTTGAAATTTACTACAAGTATGAAACAACATTTTCTTACTCATGAACCTGACATACAGCGTGCATTGAAATTTTACGGATTGTGTAGCAGAATATCAGGAATTACATAAGCCACTTGAAAAAACAAAACAAATAAGTAATTTAAATAAAAAATTTTTAAGTCAATTCCTACTTAGGTCAACAAAGAAAAATTTTATATTTTAGTTACTTTTTATTAATCAATTACAATTAATATAAATATGTATCTACATATGACAGAATCACACCATTAAGTAGTAGCAAAATAGAAAGCGATTTTCCTTTCTATATGTGATGTTGGACTATTATTTTTTGTTTGTTACTATTTAATCATTCATAAATCACATTCTCAGAAATTAGGACATCCCAGGTAGGATTCAAACCCTCGACCCCCGTGGCGTAATGTACTCACCTGCATTGGAAGGGGAGGGGGACAGGGACCCAAGGGGCACAAAGTTGGACTGACACTAAGTACGTATTCAGGCTTGGGGACCAAAACCTGAATTTTCAGGGGGAGGTCCTAATATTCTCCATTACGTCACTGCCCCCGACCTTTGGGTTAGAAGTCCAACGCGCTGACCATTGCGCAGCAGGGACAGAACGAATGATTTCCCTTTTTATATAGGGGGTTGGACTATTATTTTTGTTTCTTACTAATCATTCATTAATGAATTCATTAATGTTTGAAAAATTTGTATTAACATCAAGTGTCATCCGCTACATGTTTTAAAAAATGTATTTGAACTTGAATGGATGAATAGAAAGTATTTTATTAACGATTGAAAATTTGAACAAGATATATATATATATATATATATATATATATATATATATATATATATATATATATATATATATATATATATATATATATATATATATATATATATATATATATATATATATATATATATATAGGAAGATTGTGACCTAATAGTAGGAATTGGAAAAAAAAAAAAAACCGCCGTTATTGACAGATTTTGTAAAGACAAAAGAGTAAAGGCCGTTAATAGCGAACAAAATTGTTTATTTCAATCAAAACCGACTGTAGTGCTAATAACAGTATTTTCGATCTAGTTCGTAATAAACGTGCACGCTTGTTACGAAGCGTGAATGTTAGTTGTTAGTAGTCTTATTCCTAATTTTTCTATTGGTATTTTGTGTGTTGTAGGTACTTATAGACTGAATTTTCACTGTGCACTAATTTTAATCTTTTTTGTAATAAAAACGAATTGTTTTTGCTTTATGAATTTATAACATGGATTTTATTGTTATTTTTTTGCATGGTCTTTTAAGAAAATATTAAGTTTTTTTATTATTATTTTGCGCTATTCTTTAAAGTTGTGTGGGATATATCCCCAAATTTACCGTACATTGCATGTCTTTTTTATACGATTTTTTGCACTTTTATTTAAGGAACGTATCTACCGTGTAAAAAGAGTTGTGAGTGTATTATGATATCAGATAAATAACAAATCTTTACAATATGTCACAAACCATTAAATGAAAAAAATTTGTAACTCTCTCTCTCTTTCTCTCACACACGCACACAAAGCAAATTTTAGCAAATGCGTGACTTAGCATGAGAGAGGGAACTGAGAACTATTGTAACAGGAGATATCTGTTATATTTCTGCATTAGGATTTGATTTACATTAAAGACGTTTTGTGTCATACAGTTTAATCATAGGTGCTTGCTGTGTAAAAGGCAGTCTTTATATTACTTTTTTTCGTAATGTCCCCTTCAAAAATTGAATTATAAATCATTTACAGCAATGATAATATCAAAACAAATTCTTAAACTCTACAGGTCCGTGAAAATATGAAATAGATATGCATTTCATGAATATTCAATTCACTTGTGTTGAATGCGTAAGCAGTAAAAATAACGATTATCGAGAGGGTGTATGCAGAAATTCTTCGCATTCAGTGCCTTGAACAAAGAAATTCTTTTCTTTACAATGTTTATTCTTCAGACGAAAAATATAAGTAAAAGTAATAATATGAGAATTCATTTTATTACAAGAAAGCATATAGCAGCTGAACTATGCTCTTTAAAAAACGTCATTGTTTTTAAGTTTAAAGAATTATTCCATTGGAAAAAAATCTCAAATATATGCATATATATAATTATGTACTGTTTTTACGATTGTTTAGTATGTAATCCATTCTAAATTGATAAAAACAGTATTTAAATTATTATCAGCATTAGAATTTATTTTATTCGGCTAACTAATTTATAAAAAACATATTTTTCAAACACTTATATTAACTATATTTTTTCAAACACTTATTTATTTTTAAATACTATCTTAATAAATATCGCAGTTAGCATGAGAAAGTCTATATTTTTTAGATGAATCTTGTGAACTTTACAAAATTCACGAAAAATATTTCTAGATGTGTTCTATGATGCTTACAAAATTGACGAAAAGTATATCTAGATGTATTCTATAATGCGCATAAATTTTGGGAACTGAACATGGGTATTTTAGTCATCGAAATATATTTATTTAATTAATTAATGATATCAATATCGAAATGAATTTAAATGCATGAAAGACTATATTGCACCAACTGTTTATTAATATGAATTTTATTACAAAGTCTTATTTTTATGCAATAAATGTTGAATTTAAAAAGTTAAAGTAAATGAGATTAATCCCGAAACATATGTGTCAGTGCATTAAAAAGGAAAGTTATTATGTATAATTGAATACTTGATAATTTTATACTGATGTTTATATAGTTGAATATAAAGAAGTTATAGTTGTATCTAACTTTAAAAACGCTTTAACTTTTAAATAAATTTACTATTTATTTTCAATTGATAATAAAATTTCCATAAAGCACAACGTGAAAATCTACTGCTATAGAATTACAATGGAGCTCAAAAAATTTTTTAAAAAAAATTCCATATTCACACAGCTGGATTTCTTTAAAAACACTGAAAGGAAAGTGAAGTTAAGGTTTCAAAACAAAGACGCGAATTCTTCATGTCAATTACGCACGTATACTCGGGCATGGGAACTGTGTATTTAGAGAAAAACGTTTATATTAGCGTAAAAAGGGGGGAGAGCATGCACTGTTTGGAGCATTGGTCAGTAAGAGGTCGTTTTTTTCATTGATGGATTCAGACTTAGATTAACTCACTGCTTCTCAAACTCTCAATACTTACGGCCGAATTTCCAATCAAAATTTTAACCCCCCCTACCTCCATATAATAACAATGTATTGAATTCAGTAGTAATAAACTTTGACGCTAAAGCTACAATACCATTTTAATTATAAACTATACAAATTATCAAGAAAAGTATTAAACTTTGTATATAATATTAAATATGACAAGCCCAAGGAGTCACTGGTAATTATTAATCATTTTCTTAACTTAGTATTATTAAAATTGATTATCAAATACATTGTGCAGTACTGATACATGTATAAGTGTATTAAATCAGTGTCAACGTGTATTTTATTTTTTATTATGCCAGAATGTATTTTGTTTTACTTTCTCTTTTAGTATATTAATAATTTTTTAAAAATAATCTTTTGTTTTTTTGACTTTCCAATATGCTCGCGCCCCCACTTAGACTTATCACGTACCCTAGGAGGGTCTTCCCTAGAGAGGTGTGCCCCGCAGTTTAAGAAAGGCTGGATTAACTACAGATTCTCGACGAATTTTCATCCACAGGGAATTCGAGTTCGCGCGACATGTCGTTCAGCACCCGAGAAAGAAACCGATACGACATCGGTGTTTTCATGATCGGTTCAGGTATCATGTTGGACGAAAGCACAGATCTTCAGGTCTTCAACATAAATAATCCATGAAATACTGTGACTACCTTACCAGGGATACCATGAGATATATAGAGGAAATCTGTCCAGTACTTCTGGAAATAATTAACCAAATAGAAAATTCACTTTATTTAACAGCAATGGACACTTGAAACTGAATGTTTGGTTTAATTAATGCAAGACGATATAAATTAAGGTATCCGACTACGTTCGGAACCGTGATTTTAAAAAAGCGCATAAATGGATAATTTTCATGATATTTAGTGTCACTTAGATTATAATGCATGTATAAAATTGTTTTAAGGACATTATGGCAAAAAATTTATTTAAATACAATATTTTGGCAAAAAATTAACTTAGAATAACCTGTTTTCAAAATGTTCTTCTTTTATAAAAAATGCTTCTAAAATAATAATATTTTGCTAATATAAAGTAAAGACTACTCTCCAGAGAGTCTGAACTATTTTTTTTGGGGGGAAAATTCACATTATTTTCAGTACCAATTGAAATAATTATCGGCATTTTTTTCTTAAAATTTCTCCCCTCTGTTGTCGTAAAATATGGATAAACCCACTTCTAAGTTATATATTTCAAAAATTCTAGTTGAGCCTCTGTACAGAGGTCTGAGCTATATACAGGCAAAATATTATTATAATAGAAACATTTTTCACAAAAGGAGAATATTTTGAAAATGGGTGATTCTATGTTCATTTTACTTCAAAATATTGTACTTAAATAATTTTTTTTATTGTAATACTATTCTTAAAACTATTTTATATACATCTTCTCATCTAAGTGACACTAAATATCATAAATATTATCCATTTATACGCTTTTGCAAAATCATGGTTCCGAACGTAGTCGGATACCTTAAAATAAAACAAAGCAATTTTGTGGGTGTGTGTGTTACTTCAGTGTTTAGTAAATATAGTTGAGAAAAATATTTTGAATACCTTTATTATGCATGCATTGATTCAAAAAGAAAAGGAATTAGACATATTTTACGAAACAAAAACTATTTTAACTTTTAAAAAATTGCACAGGAAGACCAGATTCAAACGATTTATGATTGAAACGATTAGATTGGATGTAGTACTGTCTAAATTCTCTTTCAGATGAAAGAAATTAATTGGATTAATATATAGGAAAGTCAATTCCTTTCATTGAAAAAATCCTATTTCACGATTCCACATTACAATAATGATAAAAAAAAGTAATTTCTTCAGTTTCCAGAGGAGATGAAACGAATGTCCAAGTGAATCATTTTAGTGTTTAGATGAAATTGCTCTGAAGTTTAATAATGGAATCATATAAAACTACGTTTTTAATAATTATGTTGGAAATATAAGAACATTTTTAAAATTTTGTAGTAAATTTATAATGTTATATCATAATGGCAATAGATAAACTGAAAAAAAAGAGAGAATAATGTTCATACTGTGGTTCTTGGTACCTTTCAAAACGAAAATCTTTGCATTTCTACAGAATGCAAAGTAAATAACAAAAATAAAAACTGATATTCTTTTTGTCTTAGGATAATTTCTTGATTTCCTTCTTAGAGCTTAATGATTTAGTAACATGTTTACCTTTCGTATATTACATTTTAAAATAGGCTATTAACAGTAACGAAATTCGAGAATTTAAAAACAATAACAACTTATTCGAACTGTGGACAAAGGAATGTCCAAATAAGCATTTGAAAGAAAGAAAATCTTCAAATGACATCTCTTTTGCATCTAAACTAATTTTGATTAGAACACTAACCCCAATTCTATTTTAATAGCAATATAAACATCTCTCTTT